AAATCGCAGGAATAAAAATGAATAAGCGAGAAGTAAAGAGAAAAGAAAGAGGCACACCGATTTTACCCTGGTTCACCACAACTTGTGGCTAATCCAGCCTCCCGAGAGACTCTCTCGAGCTACACTACTATCTCGTTAAGCTTAACGGTGCTTAACAAACCCGTACAACTTGAGAATTCGAGTCACACGAACCTCAACGAACCTTCGAAGGAAACAACCCTTCCTTCGAACAACAAGAGAAATACCTTCTCTTGTCAAGTGTCTAAGAACACTAAAAACACTCAAGAACAATACTCTCTTTTTAGAGTGGATATTGAGTAAACTAAGAACGCTCAAGAACACAACACAAGCTTCACAAAAAAATGGCTCTCAAAAGCTATGAATAATTAAAGAATGATTTGCAATGAAAGAGTAGGAGTTGTAAGGTAATGTGATGTGTAAAACAGACCCAAACACCTCATTTTATAGTAGAAAAATAGGCTCCAACGGACCAAAGTATTTAAGGGGTGATTGGCATAATTTGTGGGATTTGATGAAATTTGGATCTGTTGAAAATCACCCAGACAGCGCTGTCCTAGACCTGGACATCGCTGTTCTAGGCTTGCGGTTTGAAAAATGGGAAGCAACGGTCATGCCAACAGCGATGTCTAAAATCCCTACATCGCTGTTTTGGCTGTTGACTTCCAAACAAGGAAAGTTTTAGCCTTAAATTCCTTCCAACGGTTAGGTCTCTACATCGATGTCCTATACTAGAACATCGCTGTTTTAGGTCTGCCTTTGGAGGTGGAATTTTGGCCTGACAGCGCTGTTGCTGGGTCAACATCGCTGTCCAAAAACTTTCTGCCAATGCACTATATTTTTGGCTTAGGTTGGACAGCGCTGTAGGGGAGCCTGCATCGCTGTTCTAGAAGTTTCTAGGAAGCCAACCTTGGCTCAACAGCGATGTCTGATGTCCAACATCGCTGTTGGAAGACTTAACGCCAAACCATGTTTTTGGTTACCCAGGCCAGACAGCGCTGTTGGTTACCTCAACATCGCTGTTGGTCTTGGTTTAGCCAGACCCATGGTTGGTTTAGTCACGCCGTTAGCCGATGTCAAAAACGCAAGTTCTCCAAAATAAAAACCAAGTTTAGAAAACATTTGTTTATTGCATTTTGCTAAGAAATCAAGTAAAACACCTTTAAAACCACGTCATTTAGTTGAAAACCATGGCTAGCCAAGTTCGTGCCGTTTTGCATGGTTTTCACTGAACGACCAAAAACGGAAGGTGGTTTTTGAGGCGTTTTTGTTGGAGAACCATTTAAATATGCCCAGAAGTAAAAACCAGTTATAAAAA